TTTTTTTGTTTTTCATTTTTGGTGAATTTTTCGTTAAACTCTTCTATGAGTTTTACACCCTTCTCAGCAGTATCGTTCACTATATGCAATGCATATACCACTTTCTTTCCAAATTGATAATAGATATTGTTCTTCCATTAAGTTGGATTTATTTCCAAAAATGATGCGTTTATCGCAAGTCTTTTAAATAATTTTGGAGACTAGTAATTTAATACATATTCCGGGAACTTCATTGTTAAAAAGTCCCTAATGTTTTCTATTTTTAATACCAATTTATATTGAACATTTTCTTCTTCCACTAGTTCTTCGCATAGTTGATCAATGTTTTCATACCCTCCGAGTTTTACTTCAATCAGTCTTCTATTTTCAGTGGATATTCGTTCATTAAAAATAGAAAATGGCATACACTCGTTACTGAGGTATACCATAAATGGCTTAAAAACTTTGCTAAGCCTGATATAGCTATATGTTTATCATCAATCGAATATGCAAATAATCTATGTATTAAATCATTACCATTTAAAGGGGCCTAACTTACATTCATTGCCGTAAACCATGACTTGATATGAATTTTTATAATGAACGCACAGACTTGGCAGATTGCATTTTCTTCGGTTTTTGTCAACTTAAATTTTAATCTTAATAAAAGATCTTCAAACAATAAATTGCTTTAGCCATCCACCTTGCTTGATGACACGCACTAAGCTTATGAACTATTATTCCACCTGGTGGTGTTTCACCAAGTGTAATAATTACAAGTTTCAAAAATTTTTCATAGTCATCTCTTGGTTGTTTTTCTGTTAACATTTTTAAACAGAAAGACAAAGTTTCTTGACGCACTGGTGAAAAAATATTTTTTAATTTTTCATTTGAGTTCCATACAAAAATATTTTTGGTGTTTATTCTATTCCATGCATTCTTAAAACGCTTAAAAACTGCAATATCCTGTTCAGATGATATGTGTAATTTTTATTCAACTATAGCCGCTTAAAGAATCAACTCAAAATATTATGACGACATGCTAAGTGAAGAACATCTCTTTTCATTCGTTGTTCTAGCAGAGCACACGCTCAATTAAGTCTGCCTGTATTTGAAGACATCGTGTCAATTACGAATCCCTGAAATTTATCAACTAATGACCATTTTTCAAGAGTATTGAATATAGCAGATGATATTTCTAATCCTGTACCAGATGGAATTTGTGGAACACTAAGAAGTTGCTCAAAATTAGGAGCTGTTACAATTATAGGCAAACGATCGACTTTTCCGTGTCCTCCGAAGTCAGAAGTATTTTCCATCCTATTGAACAATGGAAAAATCTATATTAAAAAATAAATAAATCTGACCGCACATTTTCAGCGTTTTCTTTTTAACAGATTGTCGTGCATTTTTTATAGACGTTTGGTTGATAAAGGGCCGGGTCCAAAGAAACACTTTCAATGAATGCTGTCAATAAATATACAGCATCTTGATCACTTACCTTGAAAATATACATTCAATACGTAATTATTACGTATATCTAAAAATATTGTTATAAACTAATATTAAATTTATATGTTTAACACATATGTGCCAAACGTTTTGATGTCTAACCAAACCTAACTTAATCTCAATAATATTGAATCGAAATAATGGAGTGGTTACATAAATCCAAGTATAACATTGAACTACCCGATCCAATAAATAATTACAAATAACCCTTTTTTTAGAAATTTAAACGTTACATACATTTATTTATTTAAGGTATTTAATTGTATATTTAAATAATTAAAAAATATATTAAAATAACGGTAATAAAATCAATTTTACCTAATAAATTAAATAATTTGTATTTTGCTATTTTCGTGTAAAAATACTAGATTTACAAGAAATTTTAATCCATACTTTTTTATAGACGGTAATTAAGGTTATAAAAAATATTCTATACATTTTTACGAAAGGGTCAATAGTTTTTGGGTTAAATTGGAAAAATCATAAAACTACCCTCTTTCATCATTTTATATCCCTCTTGCGGCACGGAAAGAAGGTAAGTCATCATAACCAAATTCATCACAAATTATTTACTCATACAAATTTAAAAAATGGGAGGGTCCTGCATAAAAAAAAATGAATTTAGAGTCTGAATCTAAAAAGTCCAGAAGTGTATTAAAAAAATTGCTCGACTGGCGTGATATAAAGTTATCAATATTTTTATTAGTATACTCGTAAATTTTATTTGGTTTTAAAATTATTCATTTGTTTTCTTCTTGTCGTTCTCATAAAACTTCATTGCTTTTACCATTTTGTCTTCATTTGAAGTGATACATTTTTATTAAAAAATTCTAATGAAGTCGCTTCTGGTGTTAAATTTCATAGATGATCACACATTTTCTATTATTGCCGACTTAGAAATATGGCTATCAATAGTTTCATATGATACATTTTTTAAAAATGTAAGTCCATATTTGATGGTCGAGAAGCGACGAGAACAAAAAACCACTGTTTTATGTATAACCGAACTATAAAAATACACAGGTCACGGAAAGCATTATTTTCTTTTAAAGATAATTTAAATTCGTTTCGAAATAAAAATATTTTTAAAGAATAAATGGCTTTTGCCATCCATCTAGCGTGATGTATAGATCCTGAAACATTGAAAAATATACCATTAGGAGGCGTTTGACCGATAAATATTATAGATAGTTCTAGTATTTCCTTATATTCATCTTGTATTTGGAATTGATGAAGTAGATTTATACAGAATATTGCTAGTTCTTCTTTTACATCGTGTATAGATTGAAGAATATAAATATCATTTAATCCAATATGAAAGTTTTAAATGTTAATATTGGGCCAGATGGAATATCAATCTTTATTTCAAAAGCACTTCTCAGTAAAACTTTTTAGTTTTTGTTAAAACTACAAGGTGTATTTATTATAACATTGAATTTATAAACAAATATCATTAGATAATAATAATTTATTATTAAATGAACTGTTCAAATTTATTACCATTATTTTCAACACACGCTTCCATTCGTCTCAGTAGTTCTCTTTGTGAAGCTGTTATTATTTAATCATCGGAGAGTTTATTTCATGCAACGATTATTTCTTTTTCAAATCTTTAGGATTAATAAGTGGGTTAGCATAAAATACTGTTTTTAAAAGTCCCCATAAAAAATAATCCAACGGTGTTATATCAGGTGATCTAGTGGGCCATTGTACTGGACCATATGTATCCATTTATGGCCAAAAGTTTGGTTAAGGTATTCTCGAACAATTATTGCATTATAACAGGAGCCTCATGTTGTTGAAAAAATAAATTCATGCGGGTATCTAAGTTGAATTCATCTAAAAATGTAGGGAGCGTGTTTGATAAAAAGTCTAGGTACCTCCTACTTGTCAAAGTACCGTCGTAAAACTAAGGACCTAGTAATTTACCAGATAAAAGCCCACACCACACATTCGTTCCCCACACGTACAGAAGATTTTAAACATTTGTCTAATGAGGATTATGATCTGACCAAGAACGGTTATTTTGTTTGTTGATAACACCGGTTATTAGTGAATTTTGATTCACCAGTCCAACAAACATATTTTAAAAATAATGATTCTTCTTGAATTTGTACCATTAACCATGCTATAAATGTTAGTTTTCTTTCGGAATCACCAGGTATTCAATGTTGTATTATGTTAGGTCGATATGCGGGTAATTCATGTTTTTTTAAATTTGATTGTGCTTTACCCACAAAGACATCGACTAAATCTCTAGCCAAATTACTAACATATGAACGAGAATTTATTTGAATGTATGCTAATACCTATAATTCTTAATTTTCTTTAGGTTCATGTGCTTGTGGTCTTCTATTGCGGCGGCGGTTAGCAATATTTGGAAGTTCTCCCTTTTCACAAATATTGTTTACTATTCGTAAAAAATAATTGTAGGGTGGGTGATATCTCTCGGGATATCGTTCAGCATAAAGTGCTACTGCGTTACGTTAGGCGAATTTTGATGACATTCTCCAAAAATTAATACCATATCGATTTTTTCGGAATAGTTGTTTGCCATTATACAGAAAATATTTGATGTGTCACACGTGAGTTATATCATATTTATACCGGTTATTAATAACCTAACATTCAATTATGACACTATCAAAAAGAAATTAAGATAATTATTTCGATAATAGTTTATTGATTTGATTAAAAACATTTTTTATTAATAATTTCAAAAATACTTTAGTAGTTTTAACAAAAATAAATTTTTTTAATAATATCTGTAGATGCTTGATTAAGATAGCGTTGAAATATGCTATAAATATGAATTACCTAATTTAAAACTTTCGACTGTCTTAAAAATATCAATTTTGAAAATATCAAAAAAACTGTAAAGAACAAAGTAGCACAGAAAAAATAGAGCAATCCAAATCCAGTACCAAAAAGAGGTGGATCCTGTTTAAAAAATGTTTATTTTACTGCTCATGCGCAGGTAAAAAAAGATAAAATTAGAATTTATACAAAATCATGTGTATTTATATATCCTGTACCCTGTAAAAAAACCAGAATCAAATTCAAGGTCATGCGTTCGAAATATTTCCTATTACCTTTAAAATTGAACATACAGTATAAGCATCTTTTAATCGATCAGTATTTGAAGATGAAGTATCACAGCATAAGTCTTGTACATTAACAATTAGACCCCAATTTTGAAGTTCCTGATATACAGTTGTCGCTTTGTCGCTTCATTTTCTCCTGAACCAGATATAAGTTCAGGCACCCCAAGAAGTTACTCTGTGCCATTATGTGTTATTATTACTGGTAGATGGTCAACCAATTGCTTTCCATATAATGAAGGAAGAAGTTTACTATCCCAATGAACTACTAAAGACCTATGTGAAATGGATCGAAAATATGAACCGCATCTCGATCACTAATTTTACACCAATCAAGTGCTGCCAACAGTTCATCAATAATAAAATGGATTTACCTCTTATTTGAACAAATGTTGGATTTTCTATAACTTATTCAACTGATATTTTGTCGATTTCTTCTGAATCACTACTCGAGGATGGAAAAAGAGAACCACTATTAACTATTTGTTCTAAAATATTAACAAAAATAGCTGTTTTTTAAAATAGATAAGTTTAATATATTAACAATAAATATAAATCTTCAATAAAAAACAAGTTACTTAAAATTTCCATTTATTCATTAACTCTTTTTTTTTTATTTATCGCTCCTGTCAATCTTATTCCAATACGTTCTTCAAGTTGTTGATTTTTTCCATCTATTCCTAGCATACAACCCGGTCTTCCTTTAGTTCATTGAGCAATTAAAAATTGTTTATCGCTATTTTATTTTATCCAACGTGTCAACATGAGCAATATAAAAGATATCATCAAACCTATTTATAAAAAATTCTTCTTTCTTTCGATTATTGACCAATTCTGAAGTCACATGTTTTTGTAGATTTCTCCACTTATTATACAATGTCTCCAAATTTTTAATTAAATGATATTCTTCTCTAACAGAAATATCCGCTTTTTCCCAAAATATGATAGTCTCTTTGATTACTAATTTACTGTTCTCGTGTAAATTTAAACTAACGGCACATATATTATAAAACAGTACACTTAAAGCTTGTTTTATTGAAGGTAACTTACTATCTACAATTTGATTTGAAACACTTCCAACTAAAAATATTTTACTGTTATCGCGAAGGTTAATGTTTGACGAAGTTGCCATAATAACAAATTATAACTTCAAAATAAAAAAATAAATATTTAATATGCAATGCAATTTCTTTTAGCATTTTAACCAAACAACACATTTAACATTCACGTGTTTTTTCATAACTGAATGATTGTCGACTGATAGTTCAATAGTTAGAAGCAGACAAATATATTGGGTTTGATAAAAATTTAATAATAGTCGCATTACGTCGAAATTATATAGAATTACCAATCGTACTATTGTAACACTTTATAATGTTTAGATTACAAAGCATTTGTCGATAACAATACTGCTAAATACTGATTAGTGATCAAAATAATTTTGTCTTACAATGCATGAGTAATAAATAAAATAATAAAATAATATCATAAAAAATAAATAAACTCCCTACTCTGATCATTTTTCGACCTTCGTGGGGTACGAGAAGGGAATGATTAACCAAAACCAAGTTACTTACTTATGGTATTTAACAAAATAAGAGTGGTGAGAAATCAACAATTTGAAAGTTCAAAAATAAGGACCACCTTACCCCCTCCCCCCCCCGAAAATAAATACTGGTTGAGCAACAGCATATATTACCGGTGGCGCCGCAGAGCTGTTCCAACATTGCGTCCAGTACCGGTTCAACGGCCTGGACGCCTTCACCAAAAGTGTCCATGATAGTGGCGTACACGGACCCGTTGTCAACTGACGATGACGCGTCGAGATGTGTCGCGAAGGACGGCACGTCGCGCAGGCCGACCATGTACGATCGGTAATCATCGCACAAAGTATTAATAACGTCCACCACCAACGAGACGACATCTTCGTCGTCGTTTTTGTCGTCGTCTCCGAGCATCGTAGGCCGCCACCCCTGCCATGCGGACATGGTGATCCCGGGGAGCGGTCCAAGCACACCGAACCATCGGTCGTCCACCTCCGGCGTGCTAAACACCACGTTGACGGGCAAGCCACGTTCCTGGTACAGGAGTTCGGCCAGCTGGGGATCTTGGACGCCGATCAGCACGACCCTGATCCGGTGGCCTCGGCACGTTGACAGCGCAAACTCCCGTGCCACGGCGTCCACCAGCAACGATTCCGGCTGACGGTACGCAAACACCGTGGTAGGACGATGACCTTCACTTTGGACGTCAGTGGCAGACTTAGACCTGAACCGGTTCACTGAGTACGCTGACGGCCAGCGTCCGTCGCCCGCGGCGTCGACAAACATCAAAACGCTCATAGCGGCGGCAAATTCAATATTTATCACGTATCTAATATACTTATGTATTCAGTGTCTGGTAGTTTTTGAGTTTTTTTCTTATGATATATATTTACGTTTAAGATGTAGATAATAGCGTAGGGAATAACGTTGTCATAGAATCGAGATCCACATGTGTACCTATTTTATTTAAATTATAATTCTAATAAAAAAGGATTAAAGAAAACGGGAGATCGTGGTGCTCTCATATCCACACATCCAGCGTTTATCTTCTTAGAGATAATCTTAGAGAATTTCATCTGCGAGATAAAATGGATGGTAGATACCTAAAAAATGTTGACGATGGTTAGGTTAGTATTTATTAGTAATTTATATGCTATTTAACTAAATACTGGTATATCTGTGTCTCGATGCAAAAATGACAATGCCCAAAAGAAAAATTGTCATACACAAGGATATGAAATTATAATGATTTTTATAGTAATAATATTGATAGTAACTGTATATTAGGTGAATCATGAATTGTAACATGTTTTCCATCTATGGCGCCTAAGCAATTGGAGAAGTTCCAGCAAGTCTAAAAAACTCTGATGATATTTTTCTCCATTAGAACAGGCATGACTTCAGGCATTATCATTTCAATAATTGCATTGCATACTTTTATAATGATTTGGTATGCAGTAGAAAGCCCTAAACGATAGCTAAACGAAATTATTTTCATTTAATCTCCGGTTGATAAATATCTGTTATTAAAACAAACAAAAAAAGAATTGGTTAGATAATGATGATAATTGGTTTTAATTTTAAAATTACGATAAAATTTAAATCTAATTTTGAAGTATACCCATAATTTTATAATTTTAAATGTTACATACAAAAGTCATTGGAATAACTTGAGAGATATGTATAGAAAATCATTGGAACGTAATAAGACAACGTGTCCAGGTCGAGCAACAAGAAAAAATAAAAAAAATGTAAATATGAAGACCAGCTGTACTTTTTAAAAGAATTTTTCAAAACAGAGACACAATAATTAATTATCATGTAACCTTATTTCAAGTTTACAAGACGACAAAACTGGACAAGTTATTCAAGTGAAAATTAATAATAATAACACACAAGTAAATGAAGAAAATTATGAAGATATTTGGACAAGACCTAAAAGAACTAACAACAATCCAGAAAAATATTATGAAACAGAAACAGTATCATCAACTATAGTAAAATACTTGTCATAAAAAAAAGGAAATTTAAACTAAAACGGCAAGTTTTATTCATTCAGCAGATGTATTTCTTTCGGGTATTAGTGCTACATTAAAAATGTTAGATAAAATTTGGCGAAATCTAGAATTTTTAATTTAGTCAATTTTTAGCAAATTTTCAATATAGTCAATATAAATAATAAAACAAACTAAATGATTTGTAATTTAAGCTAATTTTTTTTCGATATTTTAGTTCACTAAACTTCTGAATTAGATTCGGATAATCAAGTATGTTAGTTATTTCACATTCAGCAAATGGATGAAGTGAGTTTAATTTTTATTGGTGAAAGGACATTCTTCTGATGTTCTCGATTAGTTCTAATCTTGAATTTCTTCTTTCTACTTCACAAGCAAAGTAAAATAAAGTCGTAGAGAAATGTGCACATTTGGAATGTCTTCTTTTAAATTATTTTCATGTACATATAAGTAAATATTTTAAGAAAAAAGTATTGGTAAATTTAACTGTATTACATAACTTGAAAAGTGCACAATCTCTTGTTTTTTATTAGTAGTATTGATATTATCTTTAAATGTGCTAATGAATATGTCAGCAGAAGTCTCTGATAATAATTCTGAACCAAATGTCATAATAAATCCAAAAATATTACAAGCATTATCATATACATTTAATCTTTTATTAAGTTCAGTAACTAAACGATTAATAATAACGTAAAAACTTTCAACCTCTTACTTTATTTTTTCGTAAAAATTTGAATTTCCTTTAATTGCACTATCCGAGAATATTTTTTTCTAACACTTTTCTGTACAGGGCAAAATATTTGTTGATAATTCCCGTGCTTTGTTTTCAAAGTATATAAACTTCTCCCTTAATGAACTAACATAAATTTAATATTTAATAAATTTACAGTTGTAAATAAATCTATTCCCGGTTTTTGGAGGTTATCAAGTTTTTGAACTAACACTGTTCAACTGCCATAAAATAGGACTCCACATAACTGTTTTAAATTTTATCATTTTATTTTTCAATGATTTAGCCTCATAACAATTTTGTTGTTTTTTATTACAGTTTTCAAAAATATCCGTTAATGTACATATAATTTAGTCATAATTTAAGATAATAGCTTTACAAGACTCCACGTGACATTTCCACCTATTATTTCTTAAATTTTTCAAAACAATTATTTTATTTTTTCTTCTGATTGTAAAACAGTCAAAAGCAAATTCTATCTATGTGACGAGGCCACAACAAATGTATATAATTTTTGAACAACACCAAAATAATTGATTGCTTCACTACATGTGTCCTTCCTAAATTTAGGAATTAAGTAAAACAAGGTGCAAATAAAGCAACAATGAATTTTTTTTGTCTGCATTGTCGTATGATTGACTTCTACAATATTACAAGTTAATATTATTGGTTTTCAAAAAATTTATTACTTCTTCGGCCATTGAAGTGTCAGTTTGGCATAATATATAGTGTATATAATATTTATTAAATTTATTACATAATATTTATATAATATTTCATATTTATTAGGAAAACTCTTAAGAAAATTGTTTAATGACCCTTTTAAAGTACCTTCCAAGTCTGAATTATTTTCAGAAAAATTGCTATCATTATAAATCGGAGTCAAATTGCTGATAGAAAATTTGTGCACAGAAAAAAGAAACATGTAATATATTTTACTAATATCTACATTTCTTATATTATCCTGTTTTTTTTCTTCAGTTTTTAATATTTAATGAGAAAACTAAAATCAAAATACAATAATCTGTAATCAAAAACAATTGAGTAGTATTAAAAATTAATGAGTTTTTTTTTGTGGCTAATTACTTATTATTAATATGTAGTTTGATGGTTTGCATCTCCAGTGAAAATGTTCTGCACGCGCCTATGGTTACATCAAATGTTTACCGCTATTTTCACTGAATCTACTTCAATAAATGTCTAATAATAGTTAGGTTTTATTTAATACGAGGTAATTATAAAAATAAAAGTTTATTATATGCTCTAAATAGTGGTAATTTATGTTATGTGCCATTGTTGTGAAACGAGGTTCGTACAAATTCCTACAAAATAATAATATTGTAATATATTTTACACGCTAAATAATAAATAAGAAAAAAGTAATGATAGTACTACAATATAATATAGATAAAATAAAAATTTAATATAAATCTGTATTAATTTAAAGAGTATATTTTTTTTATAAAAATCAACATTTTCGGTGTTTCCAAAAAATTTACTTATAGATCTGAATACAACAAAAGTTATACTATAATTTATGTAAATGGTAAAAAGTATGACAAGTGATAAATGATAAGTTATATGCTTTTAAACTTCATAAATATGTATAAAAAAAAAAACTTAATATTTACAGATTAAAAATTAAATAATTTGTATAAATAAATTTTAAAAGCTATAATAATTTCTTTGTTCTGTAGGTTCCACATTATGTTTACTAACACAAAATTTAATTATAGTATATTTAATATAACTTATTTTCCTTTTAAACAGGATTACCGTATGGCCGTGGAATTATTATTAATACAGTTTTCTATACTATATTTATACTTATTTGGGTATTTAATTAGGTTTGTGATGAGTGACATGTATGATAAGCATTACATTATCTTTAATGTACTTATAATTATCAACAATTCTGTACCTCAATTCATAGGTATTTGACATAATTTCAAAATTGACTATTAGATAATCTAAATTACAATTCAGACCACTGCCCTCCATAACAAGCGAAACATGACATAACATTTAATTAAGGTTTTACTTCCGATGTTCATGATTAAATTAATGTTGAGGATTGATTGAACTTTGATTGTTTTAATGTATATCAAACCTACCATAGAACTCAATTGAACCAAAAAACTGTACTAAATAAACATTTTTTTAAAACTTTAATTGAACATTGAATTTAAGTGTTTATAAGTGTTTATGAAACCTTGTTAAAATTATTATTTAACATTTGAATAAACATATATAAATTAATACATTCAATCAACTATGAATATTTTTTTTAATACATTCATGAAATTTTTAACATAATATGTATATTAATGATGAAAATCCATTCTATAATTTATTATAGATTAAATAGCACAAATTAATGTTCTATTCACCTTTAAGAGTAGGTACCAACTAACTTGATTAATATATAATTTTACTATACATTTATGTATATACCAAAAAGTACATATATTAATATAATACACACACATTATAGGGAAATTATTATTTGTATAATATTAATAAATAGTGTGTATATTATATCCTTCAGGTAATAAGTAATAACAAAAAAAAAAAAAAAAAATACACTGTATTATAGCAAATTATGAATTATTAAATACTGCTATATCAAGATTTTTGTAATATTAGTTTAGATAAACATATGAGTAATAAATTTAGATACATATATAAAAGTAATGTAGGTTTTTCTTTTATATTTACTTACACAAATTGTAATAAAGAAATGAAATAAAGTATTTAAAAAATTAAATAGCATAAATATACATGTTGAGTTTATAAGAATACCTACTAAATTTATTAATGTATTATTGTACTATATATATATTTAACAAAAAGTACATAAATAAAAATAATACACACACATTATAGGGGAATTATTATTTTTGTAATATTAATATATAGTGTGTATATAATATTATATAGGTAACAAAAAAAAGAAAAAAAACAGTGAATTAATATAAATTATGAATTAAAAATCAAAATATTTTAGCTGTGGTGTACACCGCAAATAATGGATTGTCCATAAAGTACGTTCCACATCGTCTGAAATATTATAAACATAATATTATACGTACATTTATATTTGATATTTAGGGTCAGATTATATTTTAATTTTTCGTTTCTATGTTTACTATATTGTTTAGTTACACGCATGTTGTAAAATAAATCGTGACATTTTAAATTCCAATTAATTTTGGTCGAGCACCGCAAAAAAAACATAATATTGTTTTATTTTTTATTTTGATCCAACAAAGTAGGATAGATAAAACATTTTAACCAATAAAATATTAATTAATTTAGTCTAAATTAACAATATGAACGGTAAGTCTAAATATTTAATAAATAATAATTCATTAATTGTGAATTATTTTGCAGGTGAAGTTAAAAAAGTCGATGGAGAAGATTTATTCAGACGTAGGCTTACCCGGCAAGTTTCGATGCACACTCTGAATAGTTTTAACGAATTACGTTTGAACGTCAAACTTTGTGACGCATCATTAATACTTGACAACGGTGATGTATACCCAATACACCGATCAGTGATGAGTGGATCAAGTGATTACTTTCGGTCGGTGTATATTTACGAATAATAAAATATAATTGATTAATTATTAAGATTTAAGAGGACGTACTGCCTTTAACATTTGGGGTTTCGTATAGGAAATTTTAACGCAACATTTTAAATTAAGGAAACTTGACCAGCTCAAAAATATTAGAGTTCACATTTAAATTAATTTAAATGTCTTCATGCCATTATAACAAGTGTTTATTATGTAATTGTGAAATAATAAACTAAAACATTTTTTGAATACGTATTTTATGTAGAACAAATTAACATTTGGATTTTAAATTAAAGTTACCAAAATTTCAGAACATAATGTATAGCAGGGGTAGGCAATAGGTGACCCACGGGCCAGATCTGGCCCGCGAAGAGGAAATTAACGGACCGCCAAAATTTGTTTTACTTTAACGCTGGTTTTTGTTTTCATTATTGTATCTGCGTGTAGATCCAGAATATTCGAGCTCCCAAACGTAATTTGTACATTATTTTATGATGCATTTGGTATATTCGGTGTATTTGTATAATGTATTATTATAAAATTGTAAAAAAATTTGTTTAATCATCGGGATTTTGAATACGAAAATAAATACATTTATCAATATATAATTGTCAATCGTATAAGATAAAATATCAAATAGGTATAGAAGTTAAAGTTTTTGTTCCACTCCATAAATATATGGCCCTCGCAAACGTTTTTCAAATTATTTAAAATTAAAATGTTAATCCCCTAATGTATAGGAATAGGTAACTTTAAGTGTGTTCATGTTAAAAAAAAAAGCACTTTACGATAATGATAAAGTTTGGTAATTCAATTATAAAAAAGGATGGGCATACTTCGCATGTGAGTGTAGCCACTGTTGTGGGTGAGAAGTTGAGAAGGTAGGCTACAAACGGGAATTTTATATATGTCTGTAAGCAAAGATAAACCGTATATAACGAAAAAACGATTTTGAGCCGAGTTCAGTTGATAATGTTGCTTTGTCAACAATACATGATATTATGTCATATTAAAATAAAATGATTAAAACAATGTGCGTTTCAATGAAAATAATTTTAAAAAAATTTAAAGAAGATTAAAATAATAAAACCTATTAAAAAAGGTAAATAAAAGCAGTTGCCAATGACAACCTTATTTTTAATCTTTTTTTAATCTTTTTTACCTAAAGACCGATGTTTTCCTAATTATCTCAAATATTAATGAGAATTTTAAAAATATGACCTCTCTAAAATACCACCCAGAGAATACTTGATAATCGGAGTATGCTTTCGGGTAGAAAAAGTGTTTATATAAAAAAAAAAATAAACATCATTGAATCATTCACTCAGAATCTAAAATATGGTGCGAGAAATGTTGTCCACCGTAGAACAATTTTTATACCTAGCCAATAATTGATTAAATTTCCATTTAACAACAATTTTTATGTTGAGTGATCAAAATTTAATAGAATGACGCCCTATTTGTAAAAATATAAATGATAGATAACATTTTTAATATAAATTATCGGTTTTTGTGTATTTTAAATATTATTATTAGACATTTTAGCAAAGCTTTGCATCCGAATTAACCGGAACCATACAAATCGTTTAAAAATCATGCACCTGAAACTCATATAACCCGAATAATTTTTTTTTCAAAGCTCCCGCATTAAACAAAACCCAAATTTGTTGCAATCTTTATGTGTCATACCGTTTTGAAAGTATATTCTGTGGTCAGTTTGATTTCATAGTTAAGTTGTTAGTAACTAGAGTGCCTTGATAAAGAGAGTGTAGCTGTATGAACTAATAAGAAAATTGTCCGTTATTGGTAGACAGTAAATTTACTAACATCATATTTTGTATTACTTTCTAAGTTACATTTTATTTTGATCTAATTTATACGTATATTTTCAATATTTTATTTGGATTAATTACTTTTCATGATAAAGAATATATTATTATTTATCTCATTTTGTATAGTACAATTTTATGTTTTTAATGTTTTTTAATAAAAATACTTATTTATAAACTATTAAGTAAACACTACTATTATTATTGCTAGGTAGTAGCATAATACAGGCTGTGTTAACACTTAAAACCTACTTATCATATTTTTATTTTTGAAACCTACTTGATGCCTTAGTTTTATAGTTTCTTAAACAAATCTATCTACTTGAAATTAATAAACCATATTTGGTTTAAAAAATTGTTGTACATTCGTGTTGGGAATTAATATTATGTATTATTTTTTAATTTTTTATTTTTAGAAGAGTGAGTGTAGATTTGAGTATGTCTTGGATACTGCTAGAATATTATTTCATAGAAAATATTTTGTTTGGTTTTCCTGGGAGTTTCATGTTTATAGTGTTCTAAAAATTGTGTGATAACTGCTGACCAGAGCACAGAAAGAAGAGGTAATAATGCTTTGCTTAATGTTTGGTCTTGAAGTCGTACATTATCACTAAATAGTTTTAAGTTTTAGAATATGGTACGCTGACTGGATATTTGATTGGCAAGGAGTGTATGCTGTTAGTTATTTGATTTGGTAAACATAATTTTTGTGATGTATTGAAGTGCAGCTTTGACATCTTTGTAAAAGTGGGAGTTCATCAGCATTGCACAATAAAATTTTTATGAAACTAGTCCTAAAAGCTTCTGTTGCCAATCCATTACCTTAATTATGTACAGGATTGACAGATTTGAATGTTTTCAGTTTGGCTGAATTGTAGATGACCGAACCGTAATCGATTGAGGAAAGGGTAAGTGCTTTGTAAATTAAAATTAATGTTGTTGTCTCCGATCTCCAAGTATAGTTACCTACTTACTTTAATTGTCCTCATTCTTGTCAAGCATTCAGTTTTAAACTACGAATATTTCTGAAGAATCTTAATTGTGTACTAAATAAGTTGATTATTAGTTGCTGGATGTTTTTATTTTTTAAAATTATACATTGAGTTTTCGAAGAGGAGAAAGAGAATCCTGTTTCTGAAAACCAGCAAGAAAGAAAATCAAGTGCTTGTTGTAAAAACAGTGTTGTTGTTTTAATTTGCAAGTTTTAATTTTAATCTGCAGTAAATACTGTAGTCTTCTACAAAAATTATTTATTTGCTTGGGAAGATTTTCGCATATACCATTTATGGCTATTAAAAACAGAGTAATATTAAGAACGGATCATTGAAGGAGTCCATTATCAATGTTGTGAGTTATTGAGAGTTAGTCATTCGTTTTTACATTAAAGTTTTGAATAGTTAGAAAGTTTCGGATAAAAATGAAGAGATTTCCATTTATGCCCCAGTTTTGAAGTATTGATAAAACTTTTCCTTTCCAGACCATATCGTAACCAATTTTTATACCTTATACGTGGTCTAACCAATAAGTAATGAGACTAATTCAATAAAATACGTATATTTAAATATTAAGATACATCGATGTGATCCCCTTAAAAATACTCCCCTCCCACCCCTATACACTGGTCCCAACGTTTTTTCCAGCTCTCATAACATTTCTGGAAGGCTTCGACTGGAATGTCCTGAAGTACCCTCGTCATGGCGTTCTGGATATCAGGTATGGACTCAAAATGCGTTCGTTTCATGGCCAATTTTTTTTGAGGGAAAAAAAAGAAGTCGCAGGGTGACATATCCGGCGAATAGGGCGCCTGTGGCAACACTGCGATGTTCTTAGAGGTCAAAAATCGCGACACACTGAAGGCATGATGGCATGGAGCATTGCCATGATGAAGGTACCATCTTTGCACACAGATTTTTCATGGACAAATCATCAGTTAAAATTTTTCTGACGGTTTCTTATTTCAAATTAAGTTTATCAGCCAATATTCGAACGGTTAAACGCCTATCTTGATGCACGAGNTCACGGCCATTTTTAAAATTTTTATGCCACCGAAACACTTGAGCACGACTCAGGGCTTCATCACCGAATACTTTCACCAATTTATCGTACGTTTCCATAACGGAATCGCCGAGTTTAACGCAAAATTTATGTTACGTTGTTCCATATTTGTGACACGCCTTAAAAACACGTTGTCGAAAACATAACACAACTGGAAAACTAATTATTGTACGAAAATCGCGAGCACATGTATCGATAGAGGAGGAATGAGAGATTAACCGAACAAAGTTTCAGATTCGCAGTGTTACCAGAAGTGTGGCAAAAAAAACAGTCTTATGACTTATTGGTCAGACCTTGTATTATTAAAATTAAATGCTGATTTCTTTTAAATGGTATACAGATGTCAGTGTGTATAGTTGATAATGCGTTGAGCGTTTACTTAAGTTTACTTAAGGTATTAATAAGTGATATTAGTCTGTAGTTTTCAACGTCGATAATATTTTATTATACAGGTAGGATAATATAAATATTTCATATTCATTTTTTATTTTTATTTTTAAACAATTTTTGAGGTGCCTCTATAAAAATAATGTTTTTTCTAGACTATTGATTATCCGTATTAACCTATATTAACTTGAATAATATCGATTATTAACACCCAATCGTTTGTTTACATTTTTTATTCAGGATTTTGAAAAATTTAATATATTCAACAGCCAAAATCGAAAATATAATTAAATGAATCTAGTGCAAATATCTGAATTTTTGATTCTGAGCGCAGTGGTTGGATAACGATGCATTTTTTTATAGCTATTTGGATCTTGTTTTTTGAAAACCACCAGGGATGTTTACGACATTCACTTTTTTATTATTTTAGACTCTGAATGGAGCGAAGGAGCTTATGAATTTACAATGATGTTTTTTTTTTTTCTTTCTATTTGTGTGCAACTTTTCTATTAGAAATCTTGCTCCGGTTTAAAACGATAGAACTTTTTCTAGAAGTAAATCTAACTGGGAAGCTTCCATAAGGATGTCAATTTTTGATTTTCTCAGTAGTTTTCTCATAAAATGTGAAAAACCGAAAAAACTGAGGAAAAACGGAAAATGTACCAAATGTATTAGGTAGCTAAAAAAAAAATTACTGCCTATTTCCCCTCTTCCTCCTGTGAATAACTTTTCTACAATCAATTTTGCTCAGAATTGCAATGATGGTACATTTTCTAAAAAGAAAAGTGACTTGGGTGGTTCTTAGGAAAGTCACTTTTGGTTTTCCTAACTATTATGTAATAAATAGAAAATACCGCGAAAAAACACGGGAAAACTGAGAAAAAAGGTAAAAGAAAAACAACAAACATTATTAAAGAAAATGTACAATGCATTTTTTATGTAATTATTTTACCATAATATTATATAAATTAGTATATTATTAACAAAGCAATACTATTAACTGAACTCCGTTTAAAATTGTTTTTCGTTAATAATGGTTAATCGTGGCGTACAGATATACATTACATTTCCCCTCTACCTTCTCAACTTCTCACCAAAAATAGCGGCTGACCCACGTGCGAAGCATGTCCGTCTTTTTTAGAAGTGATTCTAAAATATTATTTACCTTAACAATTTTACCTTCCTTTTGCCAGTGAATATATTTTCTAAATGTTTGTGATTTTTTTTTTTTCTGAAGAATACTGTTCACCACTACGTTACACGAAGGAGAAAACACAAAGATATACCTGAAACAAATTGAAAGTTCTGCGATGGAGTCGGTTCTACAATATATTTATACGAGACAGATAGACTTAAATTACGATAACGTACTGGAAGTCATGCGGACAGCCGATTATTTTTGTATCGATGGACTGGTAGAACTTTGTCACTGGTACCTCGTCGAATGTCTTGGGCCCGATAATTGCGTCAAAATACTGCAATTTTCAGAGTAAGTATATTGGAACTTCATTATTTCGCATCGGATGTACTCATACATAACTTTAAGCAAGACTTAATTAACGTCCAGTTCTACAAAAATACACACATTGAATAGTTTTTAGTTTTTTAAAAAAAAATATTATAACTTATTTTCTTTAGTAATTTATTATAACAAAAATAAAGCTAAAAAACAAGTAAAGCATTTTAATAGTTAGTGTTATATGAAGCTGTGAACATATTAAGAAATCATGATAATTATATGTGTATTATGCATATGTATGTGAAAGGAGCTTTAAAGGTTTAGGCCAATTTTAAAATAAAACAATTCTACCGATATCCCAAAATGAGGTTTCAATTGATTTAAAAAAAAATATCGACTCCACAATGTTATCCCAAAAGATAAACAGGCAGTTCAAACATTTTTATAGTGAAAGTTCTGCCTATAGATATTAATTTAAACACTCCTTATCTCAACTACAATATTATTGTGTTCAGTTTGAATGTGAGTGTGTAGTCAGAATTTTCTTACACAATTTCGTTCTTCAAGAACTTAAAATTTAACAGGTTATTACTGCATTAATATATATAATTATTATTATTTGTTTTTTTTATGTAATAATTGTGCCTCTGTTTGGATTATGATTCGTTGCAGTGATTATTATTTTGGACCGTTGGGCGACGCAGCGTTCAGATACATAGTCAAGGAATTCATGACAGTGGCGGAACAAGGTGACGAGCTCATGAATCTTACTCAGGGAGAATTCAAAAGGATTATTGAAGATAGTCAGCTGAACGTAAAACGCGAGGAATTTGTTTGGGACGTTTTACTACAATGGGTCGACATGGATCCGGAAAATCGAAAAAACGATTTAGTACATCTGCTGCCTATGGTTCGTTTCGGACTTATGGATTCCAAGTACTTTATTGACAACGTAATTTACGCATTTTATTGTAAAATGTATTTAATACATTTAAATATTCATTAGGGTAGTGAAAACCAACCTTTTTGACTCGCTTTTGACCCACTTTTTTTTCATACATTTTTTGACACCCATGTCAACTTTTTAACCATAAAAAACAAAATAAAAGTTTAAATCTTAGTATGCTATTGCAGAAGTGATGTTATTACTAAATTATAAAAGTTAAAATTGTTTAGGTAATATTTAATTTTTATTACATGTAATTTAAAAAAAAAAAAATGTGATATTTGACCCTGTTTTCATATAACATACTCCATCTTTGCTCTATTTTGCACAATGTCAATTTTTACAATGCAATCCTCAAATCATGTTTTGTTTGAAGTTTATTTCTTTATAACGTTTACAAATTCGACATAGTAGAAAACCCCATTTCACATAGATATTTCATTGAAAATATTAATAGAATTTGTTTATTCTTATCTTCTAATAATATGAAATGGTACGGTTTACTTATAAATTATGATATCTATTGTCATACTACATACAATAATGCAGTAGCATTATACTATAGACTCTATAGTATAGAGGGATACAATGTACAGTCCGTAAAATTTTTTTTTCTTTATAAAAAGAATAAGTATACCTTCAATTATTAAAATTTTGAATAATCCTCATTTTTTTTAAGTTTTTAACAATAGATTTATCGCGACCTAATCATAATCTTACGCAAGATTTGGGTCGCGACCCACCGGTTGAAGACCACTGCATTAAGGTGTCTCTAAATTTTTAGTTTCAAAATTGTATTTTGACTTATCTCTAAATGAGTACTACATACCTATACAATTGAACTACAAAAAATCTCGAGTCAATCAGATGGGTTCTCCTGTGTCGAATTGAACTTAAAATTCGTACTTTCTAAATTTTAGTAATGTTTCATACTTCTATAAATATTTCGTGCCTATACTATTATTTAAATAAAATGCTTCATGGAATAATAATTATAAAAAAGCTGTATTTTCTACAACTTTTATTCTAAAAATTATTTTTAACCCGTCGTTGACGTTATTTTTATAAAACCGTTGACGTGTGAGCGAAACGCTCACATATTAATATAAATAGTATGTTTGATATAAATAAATTCAAATACAATTTGCTTAATGATATAAGTATTAAATGTATTGAAAATTTTTAAATGAACAATTTTCTTAAAAATAAATAATTAACTTTAAAAATATGGAAAATATGGAATGTCTTTTATGTTATAAATGACTTAGATACATAATTCCTGTTTGTAATAATGTTTCCTCATTCGATTTAAATCCAGTCAATTTTATTATATTTTGACGAAGTGTAAATGATAAGTAGACATTTTTAAACGTCTAGTCATGTAATTTTTGGTTAGTTCTTTCTCTAATTCTTTCATAAAAAGTCTTCGGGGGATTACTTTATTTGTATTCTTGTAATATATTAACTGACTGTTTATACTAGCTATATTCATAAGTGAAAATAATACTGTAAGTGACTACCTATAGCTTACTCTTGCGACAGAGTACTCTTATTTTTTTTCTTTCACATCAACACCCGATTTTGTTAAATTATAGTATAAAATCACTTCGGGTTTTTTGTTATCTGAGTTTTCATCAAACCTTTTTCGTGCATTATAGATACTAGCATAACATTTTTGTTTTTACGTGGAACGTAGGATAATAAAATAATATTTTTCCCATAACCGAATATAGTTGAATTTACTTCTCTTTTCTTTGTATCTAGAAAGCATTTCGGAATTTCACGTTTATTTTTCCTGATGGTTCCCACAATAATCAATTTATGATTTTCCAATAAATCAATAGTCAGTGGTATTGATGTATACCAATTGTCCATAGTTATTTTTCTTCCCGTTTTTGATATTGAAGCAATTAACCCTTTTACAATACCGGAAGGACTATAATCACACTTGAATGACCCATCTGGTTGGGTGCAAATGTATACTTCCATATTTGACGTATAATATGTTTTAGAGTCAACTAATGCATGTATTTTTATCCCTTACTTATTTGGTTTGCTCGATATATATTGCCGAAAACTGCATCGACCTCTAAACACTTCAAACACTTCATCAATAGTGCAATTGTTGGAATAATATTCAAGGCAACGTTTTACAAAAATCTGTCAAAAACAGAACGTATTGGTAGTCGTTCTATAATTTCTTGTTTTGATGTCATAAAATCGGAGTGCCCGTAGTAGAATGCAAAATCGCTGTTCTGACATGGTTGATTGGAAATATTCAGGTTGAAACCCTTCACCACACTATAAATCCTTTAGATTTACATGCCTACTACGTATAAATCCTGCTAAGTATAATAGTCCAAGAAGCGCATCAATTTCTTCTAGTATAATACTTGATCGTTGATAATTCTCACGTATTTCAGGAAAATATTTATTTGTACATACAACCATTTAAATGATCACAGAGTCAGAGAAAAATAATTTTCAGCAATCTAAAATGCTTGTAGCGTTTTTAGTGACTACATTTACGACACTAGGGCTCTGAGTAAGAATGTTATGATTTTTGGTTTTATTAGTAAGAAAGTTTTTATACCATTTTGTTTTTTCATCTTTACCAAAGTAAAACTCATGTGCAGAAGTAGATCTAGTATTATTATCGAAATTGCCAAACTCATCATCATTTTCACTATTATTATAACGTAAGTCAGATACATTATCTGGTACGAAATTTAGATCAGCGTCAGAATCATCACTATCCTCCAAATCAACGTCTTCGTCAAATTTATCCAACCAAGCACATACTTTGGAGCACTTTCAAAAGATATTTTTTGTATAAATATTTCGTAAACATATAATTATACTTTGTAGTCCTACTTACTGTGCTGCGTCATTGAGTCTTTCACAGAACCGTTTTACTCCATCTTGAGATTCGTCCATCAGCACTATGTCATCGGCGTTTGCCAATAAGGGAATAGCCGATTTCCGGAGTTTTATTTCTTCGTGGGGTTTAATTTCCATCTCTCTTATTACTTTTTCCAAAACAAGGTTAAAGAGAATAGGTGAGATTGAATCACCTTGTCTAAGGCCGGATTTCACTATAACTGGATCTGTAAATTTATTCTACTTGGTGCATCGCAGTTAACAGTAATGGAGGGGGTTTGTGATGATCTGGAGGTAGGATCTGTTCGGTCATTGGTAAGTAAGGCGAATCTATTTGTAGTTATAAACATAGGTTTTTTTTAATTTGCCTCTTGGTCGACGGATTTTGTAGTAGAGTCATGTCAACGAAGTCATCATCAACCATTTCTGTTGAATCATTGAACACTTCACTAGATACACTCTGTATACTTTTGNCTTCGCAGTTAACAGTATTGGAGGGAGTTTGTGATGATCTGGAGGTAGGATCTGTTCGGTCATTGGTAAGTAAGGCGAATCTATTTGTAGTTACAAACATAGGTTTTTTTTATATTTGCCTCTTGGTCGACGAATTTTGTAGTAGAGAGATGACGTTTGGAAGTTTTTTTTGGTGTTACAAAGTCATCATCAACCATTTCTGTTGAATTATTGAACACTTCACTGGATATACTCTGTATACTGGTGTTTCTTGATTGGGTTTTTTTCTCTATAATATTTAACGATTTATCCATAGATTTTTTTTCTTTGTTTGTAGATGCCGTGTTTAGTGTAGCCGTTGTCGTTACGTAACTTGTGATAACATAAACAGTGATAGCCAGCCGTGGTATTTACCGACGGCTGCGCGACGAGTTACGGACGTGTGCTAATAAAGATAAGTTGATTTTAATTATACGTTGCGTTAGTAAGGAAGAGATATTTTAATAACTACCATAAAGGAGCAACAGTTTAAATGTACGTGCGATCGTAATGACATCCGGCACTACTCAAAATCTAAAAAGACAAAAGCAAAATGTGCAAACTATGGTGAATATCACACAGCCATCTAGAAAGGCTGCTCTGCTCATATGAAAGCAAAAGAAAGAGTGGAAACCGTCTGGAATCGCACTAACAAACTTTTACATGACAAAATTAAAAAAATAGAAAACAAATCTTTCAAATCATACTTAAGTGAACTTTCTGCAACGAATAACATTGTTTATTCATTATGGAAGGCTACAAGCCGCATGAAGAGTCCTAGAGCCTATGTACCAACTAACCGAATGGAAGATGGAAGATGGACACGCTGTGTACAAGATAAAGCAGATATGTACGCACGTCAGTTAGAACGTGTATTTCAACCAAATGAAGTTGTTTCCGAACTCGACATAGCTCAGTGCCAAACACTAAATAAAATACACGATAAGATAAAGCACTTTACTCCAGTTGAAATCGCAAAAAAAAATTGATATGAATATCAACCCAAAAAAGGCACCTGGATATGACCAGATTAACCCAAAAATTCTGAAAGAGTTATCAGAAAAAGCTATGATTCATCTAACACACAAATTCAATACCATCCTGATAACCATCCAAATAATTTGTTCCATTTAAATCCCTGACAAATTCATACACAAATTCATGTGTCACACAAAAATTACGATTTTGAAAACGATAAGCCAAAAATAGCAGTGATAATGATTATTTTTGGAAAAAATCGAGTGACCCCTTATTTCATAAGAGAATATTGCGATAAATTCTCTGGGATGGTTTTTTATTTTGTATGGGTATTTTACAAATAAAGCGGGTAAAACCAAAGTTTTGATAAGAAAACAAGAATTCCAAAAAACCAATTCTTATAGCCACATAGAGAGTCATAATCCGTAAAGTCGGCCAGTCTTTTCTGATACACCCTGTATGTACTTATGATCAAAAATCACGTGCCATCATGCTTAGCTATTATCAATATTTCAAATTATTTTCATAGTTTTTGACTTCTTTTAAGATTATTTTTATATTCGTGGTTCACTGACTTATTTACACAGAAAAATTAGACACAGAGACTTACTACAGAATAAATGTTATTGTACCTCACATTGATTATTTCGTAAGTGAACTTGAAGACAGATTTTTGTCGCACTCTGATATTTGTATAGATAATAAAATAAATAAATATTTCAATGTTGAATTTAAATTATCTGTATATGGTATATAAAACAGAAAGCTGACTAACTGATCTATAAAAGCACAGCTCAAACCATAAGACGGATCGGGCTCAAATTTGGCATACAGATATCCATTATAACGTTGTCATTCAAAACGAAAATAGTTTTGAAAATTTAACCCCTAAAGGAGGTTAAAAGGATTGAAAAGTGTAAAAATAAAAAGAATCGCCTAGTCGGAAGCGATAAAGCTATGCATATGAAATTTGGTCAGTAGATTCGTTTCATGGTGTAGATATTTACTAAGAGAGGATTTTTCAAAATTAAACCCCTAAGAGAGTTAAAAGGGTTAAAAAGTGTAAATATGGGAAAAATCGCTAGATATTGCCATAAAATCTTGCCAGATTACATACATTTTTATACTTTAACCCACAACGACGGTTAATTAAGATAATAAAGTATAGAATAGATAAATTATGTTATTTATACCTATTGTATATAATGTAGTAGGCTTAAAAAATATGTACTATTATTTATTAGCATATTAAATTTGTTTTTCTTTTATTGGGTTTTAATGTTGATTTTGAAACAGTACAGTTTTAAATGAGGATAAAGATCTTAACTACAAACAAAAATTAAATTTTACTCCCTACAAGTATAGAATTTTGATATTTTACTTTATAAGTTAAAATTGTGAAGATGCAAACTTATAACAGAACTAATACAATTTTTAAATCAACTTTACAAGCACTTTCCAAGCGTGATAATAAAATTTATTCCGCTGTGTTCAATATTATACAAATTCTATGCATGTATCTACCACCATAAATAAGCGGATGCTTTCAGTTCCAAAATAGTAAAGACCTATTCTATAAACACCATTTTTAAAGTAAGAGCGAGTTACAATTTATGCATTACAATTTAATGAATTTATAAATTGTAATTATATTTTAATTTTAATTAACTAATATTTGTCATAAAACAGAATCGATTGAAATGATTCGCCATATTGACAGTACATATGAACATATCAAATAATAGACGAACTAGCTAGACGGTCTCGAGAAATAGATCATGTGTTATAAATAATTATAATTTATTTTTGTTTTCTGTTTTTAGTGCATAACAAGCATATACCATTATGCACATTATTTGCTTGCTAAAAAGTCTGAAGGGGCATATTATTATAGTATTAAAGTGTGTACCTATATCAAAAGTATGCGAANCCACTAACTCTATGTTTCCCTAAAAATATATCCCCCCCCCTAAAAAATGAATAACCATGCTACTGGAGACTGTATGCTCATTTATAATAATATATTTACTATAACCAAACTATAAATTATGGGATATTGTTGAGTGTTGTCCGAGTACTATCCTATTCAATATGAGTATTTGTTTAAATAATTATGGAAATGAACGCTTCCTATATTACGCAATTGATTATCTAAAATAAAAAAAAATATCTAATTACTATTCTGTAATCGGAGAAAAGTAATTTTCATTTACCTACCTCATTAATCTGCAAAAACAGCTTTAAGTTCGCTTGTACATCACCAGATGTAATAAAATAATGATAAATAACTAAAAGGGCAGGTTCAGATAAATTATTATCCACATTATGCAAAGTGAAATGTGGATAAGTGTAGGTTTTGATAAATCTGCAATGTGTAGACTTCTGCAAATAACCCGAGTAAACAAGTGTACCTGAAATAGAAAGTGTGGTTTTGTTGGCCACATCTTCAGGCGTAAAGACAAATATAATAATCAATATCAAATTCGATCAAATGTTTAGGATAAAGAGCTTTAATCACCGCTGTAATCACTGGTATTAAATGATTCGAGTTGTGTAATATAAGTCCTTCAGCAGGAAACTATAGGAAGCATCCAACTTTAAATGTGTAGCAATGCTGTGTAACATACGCAACAGCTAGGTATATAAGAACAAGGATTCCGAAAATAATAGCCCGTCGACGAATCTGGAACTAATATAATTGGAAGAATTTTAATAGGTATGGTCAGTTAGACTACGGATGATTGAACAGGATTTGGAAAAGAAAGATAGTTGAAAATGACACATGTGACACATTATACTCATTCGTTATCGATTTTGCATTGATGGCTGCCATAGACACACATTCGATAACATCAAGAAGACAAATGGTCGTCTACCATCTATTATGTTTATACATTTGTGTATTAAACACAATTATTTTTTTTTATTACAAAGTACGACTTGTTATGAACCAGCTATTATGTTTGATCTAACTATAGGTACCGAATAAAAATTAAGTAAACAATTTGTAAAATTCAAATGTCTATAAACAACTGAAAAATTGGTAAAATGTTTTGAAAATCTTACCACATTTCGAAATGACAAATATAAGGTTTTTTTTCCGAATTTCGAGTATCGACAAATATTTTAAACTGAATTACAAGAGAATAATACAAACAAAATTGAAAATAATACATTTTGTAAATTTTCGTAATTTCGGGGGAAAAAAATTGAACATCATTGTAAAAAAAACTAAAATATCGTTTCTTATTATCAAATTTTTTACCAGATTCAGGTTTTCGAAGGATTTTTTTTCTTTTAAACACTATATTTGCATTTCCTGTGGGAGAATTATAATATATTATACCTATAGAACATTAATTATTATAATTTATCTATGTAAATCTAATTAATTTACTACTGATATTTACTTTTATATCAGTTTTATTCTTAAGATCATTGGGGTTTAAATAGTATATTTGTTATATTACATACACAAGGGTGCCATGGTGTAAGGGTTAGCACTCTGGACTTTGAATCCAGCAATCCGAGTTCGAATCTCGGTGGGACCAATTCAATTTTTTGCGTTTTTTTTACCTTTTTTTTTAATTATTCGATTAAAATACTTGAATATAATTAGGGTATTAATGTTTTTATGAAGTAGGTAAGTCAATTATAGCTTTGATTTTTTCAACACCTGACTTAACATTATTTTTATTAAAATTAGGTATCCTAANAAGTCATTCAATTTATATTAGATTTATGACATTAATATTTTTTTTTTTTTTTTCAATGTTCTATATAACCGCCTGTGCATTCATGTCTAGCTTTTGTCTAACATAATTAATTAACAACAATAGTTAACTAACATTTATTATTTTTGAGACAACTTGTTAAACACCACCCTTATCATTATTAAAAAATAACAGAACCAATTAAAAGTTAATTACCATTATTTGAAATTCTGTTAACACATTTCACTTGATTAACCATTTTCGTTATAAAAAATTCGTCAAAATTATTCAGCAAATTAATCATCATTAATAAATAACAGTACCAATATAAAGTATTTAATATTTTTTCAATTTTGCAACTGGCCACATCAAATTTGATTAAAATTGATCAAGTAAAAAATAACAAAAAAAATAACATTTCGTAACCAATTAATTAACCAATTTCGTTACATAATTTGTCAAAATTGTTAAGCAAATTACACTTATAACAGTGTATACCTATTGGAAATCAAAGTCAGAGTATCGCGCTTTCGTGCGCAATCAGTGACGAGTTTATTCAAGATCATTGACCGCCGCCGAGGTCCTACCTGCTCTCCGTTCCTTATCCCCTTTCTGGACTTTTGAATGTTTCTGATACTGCGAACGCGAACGGCTTCTATCTGTCCATCGTTTCCGCACATCCCTGGATGTCGCATGTGTGATCTCGCGTTCCTTCGCTGTATGCTGTTGTTGTTTTTAGCTTTTAATACGTGTGTACCCACAAAAAACTAAACAATTTTTTACAGACGACGTGTTTGCGTTCTTTTTTGGACTACATCTAAAGCTTTTTTTTCCCTGTTGTCGGGCATTTTACTTCTGCCAACGAATTAACGTATTAACGAATTGCAGCCCTTTCCCTTTAACCCCGTCCAGTCCAAGTCGGTGCCGTCATAGATGCCACTGAACCGGTTTTGACGTCATATCCCGTTGTCCGGATTAATCGAGCATCTTATTAAATTCCACGGTCGTATATATTATTTAGCTGTAGAGTACATTGTCGCTTAACGACCTTGTATTAAATTAATTTTCATAAATTATCAACTTTCTCCTTACTTCTTATTATTAGTAATTTTTATTTTTTTACCGATTGTTTTTGTTGTTTGCTGTGTGACGAGAAGCCATTCGTGCTACGGCGCGATATATTAAACCGTGTAAATATTTTAAACACAATAAAAACCTCACGTCGAAGAACTTTATAGTGAATTTACAAAGATGTTTTATTTTTTTTTTGTGGACAACTTTTCTACCTGAGAACTTGC